CCAAGAGAGGGGTTTGGCTCTGGGATGCCTGTGTCCCTGTGTCCCTGGACTTCTGAGTGAGTACTCGAAGAATGCTGTCCCCTGTGACTCTGGGCTTTGAAGCGTCACCATGACTCTGTACAGATGCTTCCCTGTGGCTTTCTCATTGATAAACGAACTGAAATGCCTGATGGGAAAGTGCAGGATCCTGGTGCAGAAGGACCTGAGGGGCCGGAGCGGCTCAGGGAGCCGAGGGCTAAGTCCATCCTCGTTTCCCTAAGTGTGCATATCTCCGTGCACATGGCGGGCCCAGGGTGCTGACGGCGGGGGTGCAGGAGGATGACAATTTCCTAAAGCTAGACCCGGGGCAGGGCATGGTTCAGGATGCCACAGAGCAGGGACGGAAGGGGTCAGAGATTAGTCGGGGGTGGCAGTCCTGGGGAGAGAGCAGCTCTGAGCTCTGCAGCTCAGGAAGAAACCTACTGCAATAAGATGGCTTTGCAGAGGGCTGTCCTACCTCCACCCAATGACAGCGCACTGGGCCTATACCGAGGATGGTATGCTAGGCTCCCTGGTTCTGCAGCGAAGTCCAAACGCTGCTGTGACAGGGACACGCAGAGGGGCAAGGCAGCGTGATGCAGCAGTGGGCGCAGCAGCGGGTGGGAAGCACGGAGCACACACGGGGACCCTGGCTGGGGCCCTGAGAAGCACTCGGCATCTCCGGCATCTCCGAGCCCGTGCCTTCACAGTAGTCCAGGGGCAACAACCCCGCCTGCTTGTTGGGGTGGGTGAGGATATTCGGGCTTTTGCTTTAAAGTGTCTGCCACAAACCCTCATGAAGACGAGGGTGGGTTTTGGCCTCAGGGCCACCAGGAGAGCAGACTGGAAGGAAAAGGAAAAGACGGGCACTCGAGAGGGGACAGGCTGGGGCCAGCCTGGGGCTCAGTGACACGAACTGGGCTGTGGAAGCCGCTCCCACCTGGCAGAGGGTATCTGAGCCCACCACCTGGGCACCCAGGGACCGGTGGGGGGGTGGACAGCTTTGGTGTGGTCCGTGCGATGACCTCTGGGGTCTCTGGCACTCACACTGGTGGGAAAATGAGGCACGAGGAAAGAGGAGGCTGCCGTGGACTGGGGGCGGGGGGAAGCCCCGTCCCTGTGCCCACAGCCTGGGAGGGCACCATCAGAGCTCCTCCTTGTTACCCTCGAGGGACTGGCCTGGAGGCTCTGGAGCCGGGGGGTGACCTGCTGGGTCACGCTCGCCAGGCTGCTGGCTGCTGTCCTCCGGGTGCCTGCCCGCGGCGGAGTAGCCCCGCAGGAGCCCGCTCTCCACTCCGTGCTGCCGAAGGCTCTCGGTGCTTGCGAGCCCCTGCATTCTCAGGT